ATGTATTCCCTCCTCTCTTGCAAACACCATGTTTCTTGGGTTCCTCTGCTCACCTCTTGCTGCTCTCTTGTTCCAGGCTGCCCACTGAAACCAGTGACCAAAAGCCCAGCACCAACCCCCTGGGGGCCGGGGGAGCCGAGGGGGGCGGCTGCGGCACCCCGGGGACGTGCATGGGGACAACCCTCGAGCCTCCGTGGGCTCCGGCAGGATCAGGAGGCCTCCCAGGAAGAAGCCAGATAAAGCCCTGTACGTGCCCAAGGCGATGCGCAGGAGGGAGGAATGGGGCGAGCAGGAGAACGCGGTGGCCGCCGGCGGGGACGCGGCGCAGGAGGAAGAGACCTGCCCCAAAGAGACCGCCCGGGAGGAGCTGGGCAGGGCTGAAGGAAGCTCAGGTGATGTCTCCTTGGCCTTTGGTGAGCAGGAGGAGGCTGGTGAAGGGTGTGTTCCAGGAGAAAATAATGCTGAGTGTCCCCCATGTCGTAGGGATGTGCCATCGTTACAGAACAACAAGGATTTCTCTGGGCAGGGAAGTCAGGATAAAGACTGTTCAGATTCCCTTTCTTCTGTGCACAGTAAAGCCCCAGCTGAAGCAGAAGAGCAAGATTTGAGCTGTGACAACACTCTTATACCAGAAGGTACCAAAATCCTGTGCCAAGTGCAAGCTGAAGACCAAAGCAGCCGGAATGCCGGCGTATTGGAGCATGCCAAAACCTCCTCCCTACCAGCCAGTAACTGCGGGGCAGACCCAGCTGAAGCAGAGTCAAGTGCAGGGTCACTGGTGCTGGAAAACCGGGATAAGAGCCACACCACTGCCAAGAGCCTGGAAAGCAGCGGAATCATGTCACTGCCTGAAGAACAAGACAAGGACTTGAATGCCAGCACCACGGAGGGAGGGGAGAGTTCCTCCAACCTGGAAAGCCCAGAGGAGTGCCCCAGTGTTGCCCAGGTGGAGCAGACCCAGTGCCAGAACCCCCCAGAAGCCCCAGATGAGCCTCTCCCTGCAGCTGAGCCCGTGTATGGTGCTGACCCATCATCTCCTGAGGACCAGACCGAGCGTGAGGCGGATGCTCCGGTGCAGAACCGCAGCGAGAAGGTGCCCGTGGTGGCAGAGGAGGACAAGGAGCGTTCGGGCTTGGCTGATGCTCTGTGGCACGAGCTGCACTTGTCTGCAGGGGACAGAGAGGAGAGCGTGGCTGTGCGCAGGAGGAGCAGCCTCGAGGACGACTGCACCGCAGAGCTCTTGGCAGAGGTAGTGTTCTGCCACCCGTGGGGAAAGGAGGTGGCTGAGGCTGGGCCCCAGGGAATGGGATTAGTCCCTGTGCTGGGGCTGAGCCTGGTGGCAGCAGCGTGGCCACGGAAGTGGTTTGCAGGGACCGAGGTGGAACCTGGAGGGTTGTTCTTTGAAGTGAAACCTCGTCTTTTTAATTGTTTTCTTCTTTAATCTTTTCAGATTGTGGGTTATTTAACTGTGAAGAGCATAAGCATTGAGAAGATCAGCTTAGACTATTCCAGCTACAGGGATGCCCAGCTGAGCGAGGGGGATTTTGGCCACGTTACTGAAATCTATGACTTCTCCCCGTCACTGAAAACAGAGGACCTGGTGGAAACGTTCTCAGACTTCCAGTGAGTATCTCTGAGAGCCTGAGCACAGCAGGGGCATGAAGGGAGCAGCATTCACACTGGGGTGAAACAACCTGTTGGATTTTGAGTCTTCGATTCACCTTCATGTCCTTGTGTCGGGCTCTTTCTGTGCCTTAAAGGACATTTCCTGCAGTTCATGCATGATTAAAAACCCGACTGGTTCTTCAGGGCTCTGTCATACCCATGGTTAGCTACGTGCAGGCTTATTCCCACTTACTCCTACAGGCATCAGTGAGTCTTCAGGTGCTTTCTAGGAGCTGCTTTGTTACTGCACTCAGGTACCTGAATGAAATGACAATGAAATTACATGCTTGCAAAGACTTATGTAAGAAAAAGGGCTTAATTCTGCTTCTGGAGATCAGATTTAATACATAAATCCAGGGAACAGAGCCTTGTGCCTGAGGGAGTGACGCTGCATCGGGAGCATAACAAAGTTCAGCCCCAGTTAGTGATAAAGGTCCAGCTCTGAACTGGTTTGTGTCTGCAGGAAGGTGTCTTCCTCCCGCCACCATCCTCCTCCTCTCTTGCTATACCTGGTGGATCAGATGGGAACTCTTCACTCTACAGATCCTTTAAGTTAACATCCGTCATTTATGTTTTCAATAAGCTCTTGTGTGTGTTTTCTCTCATGCGCTATTTCCATTCACAGTGAGCGCAACTGAGCTGAAAACATGGCTCTAAGCTGAGCAGTCGGTTGTATTTCCTGTGCTGCAGGAGGATCCTTGAATTCCCTCCTCCCAGATTCCAGTTTTTCACTGACACTTTGATTTTTCACATTGATCTCTTCACCCTCCGCTTTGGAAACCGCGTTTATAACTCACTTGTAGCTGTCCCAGCAGTCAGGTGGTGTCTGTACAGCACCACATAAATGACAAACTGGCTTTGTGTTACAAGAGCCCTGAGATTGATTTTGGCCAAGGGTTTCTTCTAGAAGAAGGCAGCTGAGGGGGTAATTGTACATTGTGGCCTTGAAGGGGGCACATCTAATGTTCTGCTCCTTTTCTTCTCTTTCCTTTTGTGTCAAATAGGTGTAATGCTTTGAAAAGCACTATCTGCCTACATAAAACCAGTCCTCGTGATAGCTCAGTGTGGTCCATGGGTTTCAGTGTGTGGGGAGTGTTTTTCTCTCCTATTAACCAATATCATTCCATTGTCTCTTCATTTCAGTGAGAGCGGGTTCAAAATCCAGTGGGTTGATGATACACACGCCCTGGGAATCTTCTCCAGCCTCTCCGCAGGTAGAGTGAGTGACTTGATTCATGCTCAGGGGCTCCGCGGAGCTGCTGAGGTCTCTGCTCATGCACAGTGACCCTGCACTGACCTGTGTTGAGTCCTGCACTTGGGTTGAGTGGTTGCCAAGGGCAGTCGTGGTTCATCGCGTCGTTCTTCCCGCACGCTTCCAACTTGAAAGGCTTTTCCAGCTGGAGAAGCTGGAATTGCTGTGGTGGGTGTGGAAACGCTGCTCTGCCAGAGCAGCAGGTTTGTAACTGGTTTGGGTGCTCACAGGGCACCTCTTGCATAGGGAGCGACTCGAGCTGTGTTTCCAGTCATGAATCTGTGTTGCCAGTGCAGGTTTATTCCGCTTTTAACTAGAGAGAAAGTCCTGCCTGGGGTACAGTGACCTCCTGGGGGCCTCCTGAGCATGGTGGCACACAGGGCAGCCACCGAGCTTCCTGCCCAACTGGCCTTCCTGGGGACAAACACCAAGCTCAAATCTGAGCCATCCCAAGAGATGTTTCCATCCAGCAGGCCCAAAGCTTATGCTCTTTTCTTGGGATTTAGAATCACAGAGTGGTTGGTGTTGGAAGGGACCTTGAAGCTCATCCAGGGAAGAACTTCTTCCTTATAGCTTCGTATGTAGTCTAATAACCTCAGAGTTGTCTTTTAAAACATGTCTGTGATTTCATGGCACTCTTACTGTGCAAGGAAGTGTGCTCCTGTAAGCCTGAGGTGACCAGAACGAGCTTGGCTCTTTTAGCGTGGGGCTTGAGAGAACACAGCAGCTGCTGGAGCTCAGATTATTCACTATTATTATACCACATACTGATTTATACCATATTGAGTCTGCTGATTTCAACACTCTTTTTCTTTGAAGCATCTCAAGCCCTGGGGCGACGTTATCCTGCTTTAAAGATCCGACCGTTGATCCATGCCACAAAGCAGTCCAAAATCAAGGCCCTTCAGCGACCAAGTAAGTCCATCTTTTAGTTATTATTAGTAGTATTTCTTGGTTTACCAGCCTATTACATCCTGAGTGGTCACCATGACGTGTTAAGTGGGGAAATACATATTAAGGACCAATATTTCTTGGGTTTAGTTGGTGTTTTAGAGCCTTATTGGCACTGCAGGACATGGAGCTGCTGTGTGGAGTCTTTAGTAGAAGCCTGAAGGTGAATTTGTATTTTTAACAGTGTTTTCAGTCAACTTGCATCCTATTTCTGTTGAAACTTCCTTCCTCAGCAATGCTGGTTGTGCCCACGTGCAGCAGCAAGGGTGGAGGATGCCATGACAAGAATGAATTTGCAGAACACTGTGACATTACATACATAGGAAGGAGAACTACAGCTGTTACCTATGTGTGTGTTTTCAGTCCCTTTTCCTCTCCTGCATTACAAGGACTGAAGCAAAATGCACCAAATCCTGTTGCTTTTTGTTCTCTCTTCAGCTAAGTGGGCTGCTGGAATTCAGGCTTTAGTCTTTCTTATGTTATTTATTTGCTTCTCTTCTGTGAGGTTTTAAGTGAAGGGTCGTGGTGTGCAGCAGGGAGGTGGAGCTGTAGCTGTGAGCACAGGAAGACCAAAGCACTAGCAGTGCCCTTTTGTGACTGGTGTCATCTTATTTGATATCAGTTGAAGGTAAAAGAATTGTTAAGCTTAGCCATTAGCATTGGTTTATTTCTTTTATTGCCTTTTAAAATCATATTGTAATCAGTTATACTTGCCACAGTAAAGAAATGCCATGAACCTGGTAGCAGCAGAGACTTTGCTGAAGGTACAACGATGCTGTTACTTCTCCAGTACACTGCAGTTAAACAAGTTTCTGTATGAATGGGTTCAAGGGACACTGTCACGGTTGGAAGTTCCTGAGTTTTAAAGACTGGTAGATTTCAATGGCACATCAAAGAAGGATGAGATTTGGGTTTACACTCTCCCCAGCACCTCTTTTCACTCTCACATCCTGATTCTCGGTGCTGGAGCACTTCTGAATCAGGTTATAAACTCCTGCTGGGGAACATTCTCTATATACTCTGGTGTTCAATTTAAACAGCAGTTATTTTCCAAATACATATTTGGCTCTTGGGCAGCTGACAGTGTCTCTTCTCTTTTAGTGTTTTCCTTTGTTCTTGTCAAGAAAGAGAGAGGGGCAGGTTTATTTCCCAAGCTTTGAGCTGCCCCTTTTGCTTTTGTTAATAAACCCTCTGAACAAGCCAAGCCAAGCCCTCACTGCTGACTGGATAATAGATTTGCACCCAGTTGCTGATAAATGAGTAGGAAATCACCGAATCCAACCCACTGTGCCCTTGGCTAAGGTTTGGTGTATTTGTTTCTTATACGGTGAGACTTATAGGCGGCTACCAGAAAATATTTGGAAGTTAGTGGCCAAAGGGCTTTCCCAAAGCATCTGATAGAGCCAAGTAGTCTTTAAGAAATACAGATTTTTCTTCCCTTGCTGCTTTCTGCTGGTTTGATTGGTCTCAGTTGAGCTCAAACTTCCCCAAGCATGGAGAGACTGGTTGGACTGCGTGTTCATTTTGTTTGCAGAGATGCTGAAGGTGGCCAGGAGCTGTTCCTGAAAGCTAATGGGGAATGATTCTCTCTACCACTGCAGAAGAGCCAGAGCTTAATTATAGCCAAGCAGCTTTTGAACTGCCATTGGAAAGTCTTAAGTACAAAGCAGGAGGCATATTTGCTAAAAGAAAAGGCAATTTACTGGCTATGGATAGAACAATTGCTCATGTTCCTGGGCTAAATGGGTAATGGAACAAAGAAAATGGAAATCAGCCCTTCTGGCTGCCAGGCCTCTGGTTTAGCCACCAGCCTGCTCCTGAACAAGCACTTACTTCCTGACCAAGCACTAACTTGATGGTTTTTCACCCATTTTTACCTAGAGCTCCTTCACCTGGCAAAAGAGAGACCCCAGACAGACACGGCGGTGGCCAAGCGGCTGGTGACCCGCGCCCTGGGCTTGAAGCACAAGCAGCAGGAGGGCTCAGGCACCGACGTGCTCCTGCCAGAAAGCTTGGACCAGGAGGAATAAATCATCTCAGCTAAAACAAAAAGCTGTATAGATGAGCATGGCTGTGATATTAAACTGCATGCAGAACAGTGAGTTGCCACAGGGGTGTTCTCTTATGGGTTAGCACCATCGTTCTGAAGTTGGGAAGGGGAAAAGTTTACTATTAATGAGATCTTGCACTTGAAGCCAAACCTGGTGAGGGTTCTGTTAGCTCTTTGTTATGGAGAGGATGCTGCTGGACTCTGGTTCAAAACATCTGTTAACACTGGGGCACTTGTATAAAGCGAGTCTGCTTACAGTAAAGCCTGTCCTATGTTAAAAAAGCAGCATTAGATGAAGGGAATTGTATCTTGTTGATCAAAATTGAGCTGTAAGCAAGAGCAGAGCATCTGCAGGAGTCAGAAAAAACTGTTTAATGTTTACACTGTGTTGTAATGTTATTATTGTTGAAATATCCCATCAAAATGACAAGTACTGAATGCAAGTGAGGTTCAGGGATTTCCTTATATACATGGCGTTTAAAGAGCCTGTATTGCTGCCTTGCACTGGTAGCAAGGCAAGTTGTACACTGATTTGGAAACCAGAACTTGACAGTTTTGGTGTTCCCAGAGCCTAGTTGGTAGGAGATGCTGTGAGACACCTTGTTGTGGCAGCAGCAATAGAGCATCCAACACCTCTCAGGCTCTGCTTTTGCTACACAGTCCAGCACCTTGAGACCAAAATGGAGTTTTCCAACTTACAGGAGGCTGGATGCCACCATCTGGGTCACTGGATAAGTAAATGACAGAAATACTCTTGACAGGCATTAGGAAAAGTCCTTCTGCATTCTTTAAGCCTCACAACATCCCTGTGAGGTAGGTTTTGGAGAGCACAAGTTGGATGCAGCCTGTTTCAATTCCCTTGTGGATTGAAATGGGCAGCTCTAAGCATTCAGTTACTTACAGAAGTCTTTTGTACAGAGGGAGAAAAAACTTCACTACTAAGAATTGTGACCAAGTCCCTAAACTTTCATGGAGTAGAAATACACAAATATAAAACATGGGTAAAACGTTTTTATTCAAGTAGCTGTGGCTGCAGCTCTGTAGCAACGTGTGGCCTCAAACAAACAGAGGAACACACTTAGCACCATTGTGAGTTTACCAAGTGTTCAAACCCTTGAAAGTCAACTTACACAGGTGGGTCTGTGACAGCACAGGTCCAGATCCCTGATGAGAAAAGCCATGAAGTTACCTCTGTAAGGTACAGTGATGATACAATGCCTTAACTAAACTCATCCTTTAAAGAACAGAGTGAATATCCAGCTTAGAAGGTAATATTAGATGTATGTAGAATCTATGGGGTGAAAAGCTTACTGTGTAGTGGAAATTCAGTGTCCAGCGGACTCATGATTCGGTCTGCGGAGTCTTGGAGATGTTCCAAGGGAGGTGTAGCTTCATGGAGCCCTGATCCACTTGTAGAAGGACCATTCTGCGTTAGCTGCTCCACTTACGAGACTGTGTTGGGAGTTGATTGTTGAATACAAGAGTTTCACTGCAGTATTAAATGATGCTTTACACTGTTCTGCTCAGAAAAGCTGCTCCATTTCTTTTCCTTTCCTGTATTTCTTTGCTAAAATGAAGTAATGCCATGGGAGCACTGAGGATCAGCTGCGGTCAAGAAGCAGTGTCACCAACGGAGGCCTTTGCGCCAACGGTGTGTTCAAGCTTGAGTCAAGGAGCTTAAAGATACCAAGATTAATGCCTTGAGGAAAATGAATGGTAAAGACATATTCAGGTTGTTGGCACCCAAAGACAAATTGTGCTTGCTGCAGCCTGGACCTATGTCTGTGAATAAAGATGGTGCTGCAAAGTGGAGGGAGCAATCTTTGTAGAGAAGGTTGGAATGGTGAAGATCTGGAGCCAAGTCGAGTCTAAAAGCCTGCTCCTAACTACCTCGGGTAGTTACGGGAGACAGATGATGGTCTGAGCACCTAAACTTGGAAGAAAGGCATCTTTAGGAAATAATTTACCTTGCTAATGCAGAGTTTGATTGTTTGCTTGATTTGTGTGTGTGCAGTGGTTCGGGAAACCTCGCTTCTTTAAATAGTGGGGTGGGAGGCGCTGCCCGTCTATCGGGTGGACACCTTGTTGTTTGTGAGTCCACTGAAGTGATCAAACTTCTGCTCTGTCTCCTCGCTGAAAGAGCCACCTGGGGAGTTCACACAAAGGGGACAGGTTTGAGCAGGAGGCACCAAAAGCAGCTCAAAACGTAAAGCAGAGAACACACGGGCTTTGCGCGAGCTGCGAGCATCATAGAGCGAAAGGCTCAAAGCGAGGACTAGAAGAGCAAAGATTTTCCTGGCCTAATTAATTTAAGCATTAGTTAAAGCATTATTTAAATCTTACCATTTACTATTTAAATCCAGGCAAGAGTCCTGGATCTTGGCTTGTATTGTAATTGGAAGACCATAAACTACCCCCAATTCACTGCTAACATTTGCTGCTTAAAAGAACCAGGTGATGCCGGGCAAGAGCTGGGAATGGTCTCCTTGATTCTGATGGTAAGTGGGTTCTGTTGGCTCCTCTCACATGGACCATACCCTTAGTTTTAACTTCCCTTGTCTCCCAACTAGCAAAAGCCATTGATTTGGAAATAGAAATCCTTCCAAGCTCAGCTGGAGCCCACCCAACGCTGAAGTGTCTGTTCATCCACGTGAAGTGGGTTTGGCTTTTCCAAACTAGGTCACAGCTGAAGCATGACACATGAGAAGTCTTTTTGTAAAAAAACCCAACAAATTAATAGGAAAAATCAGTGGCGACATGGAATTTCTTCAGGAAAAACATTCCTTGAAGGACTGGAGCCAACTCTGGAACTTGCCTTCTCCACTGGCTTTGTTTGGAGGGTGGCAGGCACTTGCTGTTAAACTGTTTTTAACACAGAGATTATCTTGCAAGATCCCCAACTTAATTCCACTTTAAACTGGCCTTGACATTAATGCAAATTCCAACTGCTTTGGCTTTGATATTTCCAGGACCAAACCAAAATTCCTAATTATAATGTTTTACAGGTATTCTAAGAAAATACTCCACAGTTTTACCTCTCATTCAAGAGCCAGGAAGGCATTTTCTGGCTCAAGCAGAAGCTCTTCTCCCCTGCTCTTGGTTGCTTTCCAAGAGAAAAGAAGCTTTGGGGTCTAAGAAGTCAGTCCCAGGTTGGGAACAGCCTGAGGCTGGGAAGGAGGTGGAGCTGTTTGCGGGACCTACTCAGGCACAAGTTCTGTGGTTGCACAAGAGCTTTCCTTACATCTGATGGCAGGGAAAAATGCTCATTTCCCTATGGAAGGGACACAGCTGGAACATCTGCTCTCCCCATCCTACCAAGCCTGAGGGATTTCTTTCAGAGCTTGACCAGTGTTGTGCTTGCTGCTCCAGTAACTCTATGATGCAGCACTTCTGAACCCCTCCTGCCACTTTACTCCTTGCAACCTGTAACAGACACTTTGGTGTCTGCTTCCCACAGCCTACAGCAAGCAGCACCAGTGGCGTTTGGGCTCAGTATTTCATCTTTCCAAGCACCTACACAGTGATAAACCAGCACGTAAACACCTTGCAGTGGAAGCACAGAATTCCTAGTGAGGAGCCAGGGGTGCAGCGGGTCCCTGTGTTCCCTGCAGGGGGGACTCTCACCTATGTGGCAGTTGTACATCCAGATGCGCTGCCCATCGTACCGGCTCCTGCATTTCATCACGTTGTTGGAGTAATCAGATTCAGCAACTTCATAGTTTGGGTTGATGACAACCTAAGCAGGGAGGGAAGAACATAAACTTATTTCCAGTGGACTCATCATGACACGTTTCATTACACCATAATACTTCTTAGCAGAAAAACCTAACTCGTTTTGCAAGGAGACACAAACTACTTGATTCAGGGCAGATCAAGCTCCCACCTTCCCCCATGCAGCAAGATACACCCTCATCGAACACCTCCTCATTTCACACCACAGCAGTGCAGACAGAAATAACTCCCCTTTGCTCCTCTCCGCTTCAAGTGGCTCTTTTTAGAACCACAGAATTCCTCCACTCCACCCACTTGCAGAGAGCAGACCGGAGGCACAGCCCTAACTCCTGCGAACACCACAATAGCACCATTTAGTCCCCAAATGAAGTGAGCTTTGCTTACAGACAGCTCAACAGCTCAGTACAACCTGCAGTGGGTGTAGGTAATGTGACATGTAGTGCAGTGTGCTAACAACAGGAGCTGTGCGTGGATTGTGATGGACTATCAAGCATTAGCTGGATGTGGGCTTCTTAATGTGGTTCTTAGGAGTGATTTCTCACTGGGGGATGTGATCTGTGTTGTCCTGGCGGGTAATTCTATCTCTTTTGGGTATGCTGGGAATATCATCTCTTTGTAATCCAAAGGTTCATAGAATCATGGAACAGTTTGGGTTGGAAGGGACCTTAAAGCTCCTCCAGCTCCAACCCCTGCCCCGGGCAGGGACACCTTCCACTAGAGCAGGTTGCTCCAAGCCCCTGTGTCCAACCTGGCCTTGAACACTGCCAGGGATGGGGCATGTTTATAGCACTGTAGATGTACAAATACATTAGTTACATTCCCCTCTAATGGGTGGGATAAAAGCAATGGCAGCAGCTCATACCTGGAAGAGGTAATCGCCTGGTGGGACATCGGTGATGTCGATCCACTGGCAGTCGATGTCGTGCCGATACACATCCCAGCACCCCACCGTGATCCCTTGTTCCCCAAAGTTGGCACATTCGTACTGCTTTTGCACATCTGAATGAGCAGGGTCAAAGGCACAGAGGGTTAGAGGCACAAAGTCACATCCCAGCAGCTCAGGCTGGGAATTTCCCACCCTCAGACACATCAGAGGAAGATCCATTTGTGCTCCAACTCCCACATCCAGTGATAAGCCACGAGTGGCTTGTACTGCCATAGCTGGGCTGTTCAGCTGCAGGGGAGGAGCTGCCACCCTCATCCCTCCTCACCCAGAGTCATGCTTTGGAATCTGAACACACACACTTGGCTTTTCAGAGCAGCTCGGAACAGGGATGTAAGGAGCTGAGGTCTGAAAACCGCAGCATATGGGGCCCTCAGGGGTTCTTACAGCTGTAGAGACCACTCCACACATCATACATAACCTCAGGACCGGTTTCTGGCTCCTGTCAGGCCACATTCTAACCCCACTTAGGAATGTGAGAGCATCTTTGAAGCCATTCACCTGGATGGGGACAGCAATAAACTCCCAGCACAAGTGGCTCTGGCATTTACCTGCTTCACATTCGGTGTCTTCCAGGCAGAAGCTGGCTTT